TTTTCTCTTCGATTTATGATATTTGGTCCATTTAATGAAACATTAGAACCATTGTCTTGTCTGGCAAAAGTTTAGAGAACTTGTGTTTATCATCAAAACAAATTTACCTTATAAGAATGACGGTTGTCTTGCATATTTTTTTTTTCAATATCAAGGATATTTCGACCACGTTTTTGTTACTAAGCTTTTAACCATGTAAAGCAAAAAAAATCCACTTTGTTAAAAAAAAAAAGTTTTAAATTGAAATTGTATTTGATTTTTTTTTTAAAGAATATTTAGAATTCCAATTCTATATTTAGTCCAATACTATGAATATCATTTTCTATTTTCACAATAAGACTAACTACTAGACTAAATTGCCTTTATATTTATTTTTTATCTCGCAAATTTTTATATCTCGATAGAATATCTATTAGAGTACAAGTACTATAATCGGAAAAGACAATTAAGTCTTTTTTTTATTTTGAAAATGATAAGTATTTAAAAATAATTATTTTAAATAACATTGACAAGTAAGTAGAAAAATGAGAATTGAAAATTTAGCATACTTTTATTACATGCACAAGGAACCATCTCATCTATGTTTTCCCAATCACGAAATTATATATTTATTATTGTTGTCATTATCGATTTACATAATTTAACTTTGTAAAATATTTTTATATCATTAGTAAATAAAACTTGCTCAAATTAAAATATCTCGATGTACTAGAAAGAGTGTCCCATTAATAACTTCAAAGTCACCAATATTGTAGACACAAATTTGGTTAAAAGTACCTCTCTATGTTCACTCAAATTCCATAATAGTAGTAGCAAAATTGAGCTAAAATATAATGAAAATTATTGCTTTCAATTTAATGAAAGTTGTTAGGTTTATTTACTGCTCTTTTAGTGCCCCCTACTTATCATTTTATTCATTGTAGAGTGCACACGTTGACACCCATCAACTATTAATAAAGGCTATATTCAACCAACCCTAGTACAAAAAATTGAACCCCAAACTACATGTGGGATGATTACGAAATGAAGTTGCTCGAGTCAGAAATTTTAATAAGGAGATTTAGAATTTGTAGAAATAGAAATACGAAATAGTCGAAGGGAGTTCATTATCTACTATATATACATAAAATATTATTTTAACCATGTATAAATAGTATAATTTTCCGTTGAATAGGGTTAGGTCGTTCGGATGAACCTCCTTTAACCAAGGTGGCTCCTCCCCTAGCTCGGATGATAAGTATTTTTACTTTCAAATTAAAAGTTGTAAATTTGAGTCATCAAAAGAGCAAAAAGAATGAAAGCTAAAAGGAAGAACTTAAAAATAAAATTAAGAAAGACAAAAATATATTTTATTTTGATAGTGATCTAAAATTAAATTAAATTAAAAAAGACAAAAATATATTTATTATTATAGGGGTCTAAAATAGGAGTTAAAATAGTCCCTAGAATGTTATCTAATTTTTCTGAATATTTTGAGCTTGACAACGTGAGCACTTTTAGTTCTTTAAATTTGTCAAAAATAAACACAATATTAAACACCAAAAAATTAGTCAAAATCATAGAAAAAACAACACAAAAAAATTACACCAAATACTAAAAAATAAAATAGTAAGTAATTAAAATAGTACCTCATAGAAAAAACAACACAAAAATTATACCAAATACTAAAAAAATAAAATAATAAGTAATTAAATAGTACCTCAGAAACTTGCACTGGATTGTTAAAATAGACCTAAAATAAAATAAATAATACTTTCAAATGTGAGTTTTAATTTAATATTTTCTCATTTCATAGTATTGATTAAATTTTAGTAAATATCTAAAAAAGATTAAAATTGCTTACTTTTAAGATACTTGAAAGATTGGAACTTAATTTTTAGGTGATACTAAAGCATATTTGGCAAATTAGATATTTTTTATAAAAAAATTTGTCTTGACATAATTGATTTGAAAAATATTTTTAAACTAAAAAAATTTGAAAAATACTTCTAACTATGTTTTTTCAAATAAAAAAAAAAGAAGAAATTACTTCACTCAACTTCTCAAAAACAATTTATTTAAAACACTTATTCTTCTTAAAATTTAACATACTTTTAACTTTTTTTTAATAAAAAAACATATGTATTTTTGGCCTCGAAAAAACTTTTTGATCAAACCAATTATTTAATCATTTTAGCTCCTTCAACATGAATATTTATTTATCATTATAAAAAATTAAAATTTTACTTATTATAATATAATACATTGAGAAGTTCATTAATCATTCGGTGCTGACAAATAAAGACTATTGACTATTGTAGTTGGTGTAGTAATATTATAAAACATGATAAGACCCTTCAATTTTAAATGGCAAAATATATATTATAAAAATTTGAAAATGAAAAAATGACTGATAAATGTCATTATTTTTGGGTCGATTTTGAAATAAATGCCCACCCAACCAACACCTACCAATAGTACTCATTTAATGAGCTCACAAAACTAAAAGAAATATTGGCTTCATGGGAATATGTCAATATCTTCTTCTATAGTATTTATTTATTTATCCTTTGGGATTGAAGTCCAGTTTGAGATATTTACTACTAGCTATTGCGATACAAAATTTAAATTTCGATAAATCAAAAATAATATTATTATTTTTCTGATTTTTTTTCATAACATAATTTATTTCGAATTAAGGTTTCATTGTTATACATTTAATTTTTGTAATATTCATAAACCAAACCTATCCATTTTTTTTTGAAAAAATAGTCTGTAATGGAAAAATATTATGGGAGATTAATGTTTAAATGTCAGTACAAATTAAAAAAAATACTACTATTACTTTGGATAATTTTTCTTATTTGTCTAAATTTTAGCAGACAAATATTGATCGGACATGTGTAGGTTCACACAAAATATACTCTGATCACAAATTATCCGTGTTTTGTTTTCCCTGTGAGGTTCAAAGTTATGTAAACTTGAATCAAACAATTTAAAATGTATTCCTTCTATATACTGACATGAAAATTTTATAATTTATGGTATTATCAAGTTTTCTTTAGTCTAATTTAATTTAAGTAATTAATCAAATTAACTCTCGAAAAAAAATTATACACTTACTTAAGTAACAAATACTTACACTTTTTCATTTTACTGACCTCAATATAAAAATGCAGGATTATTTTATCATGTGTTTGGTTGGAGTTATTAGGTCCTCCTAATAGTAGTACTCCCAATTTTCATCATTTATATATCGTAGTATTGAAATAATTTATCCCAAAATAACTTATTTTGAGATTAACTTATTTTCGACCAAACGCCTCAAATATTGAACGAATGAAATACACATGATTAAAATAATCGAGATAACTAAGACATCCATCCATATTTGGTTTTGCGCTTAATGAAGTTGGATGGGTCGATAGTTGTTATGAATGAGCATGTGAATTCAGTGATTATACAATTCAAATTCAGTCAAATACATAACTATTTCATTTTTTTCCCTTCTACCCATTTCACTCATACATACAATATTCATTTCTTTGCTACATTCTGCAAAGAATTTTTTTTTTAAAAAAAAATTAGTTATTTCCTCATCTTTGTCCATACCTAGCCGATTTATACATGCACCCCTTTTAGTAGAAAAAAAAAAATAAAAAACATCCATGCTTATGCATTGAGTTTTCCCTTTTAATTCCTCTGTTTTCAGATTGGAGAAAAGTCCAAAATATTTAATCTATTTTAGTTGTTTTGTCCAAAATAGAAGTGATCTAATCTAAAGGTTAGATATGAGGAATTCGTCATCGTCTACTACTTCAGCAAATGATGTGATGATGGAAATTGAAGCGAATAAACCACAAGGTAATGGTATCGTTGTAGGTGGGTTGAGTCCGTTGAGTGAAACATTATGGAAGGAGAAAAGAAATACAGAGTTTATTGGTGATGTTTCTGCTAGATTGGCTTGGAAAGATCTAACAGTAATGGTTACTCTTAATAATGGTGAAACACAGAATGTTCTAGAAGGACTTACTGGTTATGCTGAACCTGGAACTTTTACTGCGTTAATGGGTCCTTCTGGTTCTGGAAAGTCTACTCTTCTCGATGCTCTCTCTGGTCGTCTTGCTTCGAACGCTTTTCTATCCGGCAGAGTTTTGCTTAATGGACGTAAAGCTAATCTCTCTTTTGGAACTGCGGTATGTAGGAAAACAGATCTTACTCTGTTTTTTTTTTGCTTTTTTTCGTAGAGGTGCTGAAACTTTTGGGTTTTTTTTTAAAGGCATATGTGACGCAAGATGATACGTTGATTGGGACATTGACAGTTAGAGAGACGATATCGTATTCTGCTAGACTACGCCTTCCTGATCGGATGCCATGGTTGGAGAAACGGACGTTGATTGAGAGTACTATTATTGAAATGGGACTTCAGGATTGTGCTGATACAGTTATTGGAAACTGGCATTTACGTGGTATAAGTGGAGGAGAAAAAAGGAGAGTTAGTATCGCGCTTGAGATTCTTATGAGGCCTAGATTGCTCTTCCTTGATGAGCCAACTAGTGGTCTTGACAGGTACTTGCTTTGAGATCTATGGAAGATTGTTACTCAACTACTCGTTATTATCTCAAAAACTCATATTTCTTTGTTTATTCCAAATTACTTGGAAGTCTGTTAGTTGAGTGAGTATCTGACAAATCAACTCCAGAAACGAATCTATGCATTTATTTTTTTGGATTTTTACTTATATAAACTTACCTGTGTTTACGGGTAGTTTGTGTTGTTTTATAGGTTACTAATCTAACTTTCTTTTTTCATAGTGCTTCGGCGTTCTTTGTTACACAGACACTACGTGGTCTGTCGAGAGATGGAAGGACTGTGATAGCTTCAATTCATCAGCCGAGTAGTGAAGTATTTGAGTTGTTTGACAGATTATATTTGCTTTCTGGAGGCAAAACAGTTTACTTTGGTCAAGCTTCTGAAGCATATGAGGCAAGATTCACTCTTCCCAGCTCTACTTCCCTTTTTTTTCTTCGGGGACATCTGATAAAATTGGAACAATACGGAGAAGATCAATGTGATTCCTGTGCTAGAATGGGACCAAACAAATTGAGAAATAGACTCGTGCTACTTTTGTTATTGCTTTTGATAATCATCTAAATTCTTAGAAAATTCTGTGTTTGCAGTTCTTTGCACAAGCTGGATTTCCTTGTCCTGCTCTAAGAAATCCATCAGATCATTTCCTACGATGTATCAATTCTGATTTCGACAAAGTTAAGGCAACTCTAAAGGGGTCGATGAAGCTACGGGTAATTCAAGTTTCTTTCCTTTGATCATCTTGTTCCCCTTGAAAAATTATCAAATCTTTGTTACCTTAGGTTAATGTTTTATAAAATATGTGTTTTTTTTAAATTGCTGGTGTTGATCTGTTTCTCAGAAGGGAACTATTGAAGTATGTGTACCATAAGCTTTTGTTTCAGATAATACTGCAATATAATAATCAAATATATACAGCCTGTCTTATCTTTTCTTAAGCCAAACTAAACTACTTTTAAGCAATATTAGCATCGTTTTCTTCATTTAAATTTGTGTTTTCTGATTCCTAATCAGTTTGAGTCCAATGAGGATCCTCTTGACAAAACAACGACAGCTGAAGCTATACGCATCTTAGTAGACTATTATCGTCGTTCTCAGTACAGCTACTCAGCTAATGAAAGGGTTGAAGAAATGTCGAAAGTTGTAAGTTTCAATGTTTCAATACTATGTCATCCATCTAACCATGTTTTATTATCAGATACGATTACTGATTATGTTTTTTTTTTGGTGTATCACAGAAAGGAACAGTGCTAGATTCTGGAGGAAGTCAGGCTAGTTTCTTTATGCAGGCCTACACCTTAACGAAACGTTCCTTTGTTAACATGTCAAGAGACTTTGGTTATTACTGGTTGAGGCTTGTTATCTACTTGGTGGTCACTATCTGCATTGGAACTATCTATCTTAACGTGGGAACCGGTTATAGTTCCATCCTGGTAACATCCTAATTCCATTGAATCAGAATGTGATTAAGCATTTTACCTTCTATATACTGACAGTCAGTGTAAAAGATCTTTTATACGATTAGATCAGCTAAAAGATAACTAGAGCCAGGTTAATACAACCATAGAGTTGAACGATTTTAACTTGTTCCTTTGTAACAAGTGAGAAGAAATCAACCTTATTTCCGATATGTTTTCAACTGTTATGAAACAGGCAAGAGGAGCATGTGCATCATTCGTCTTTGGATTTGTGACATTCATGTCAATTGGAGGATTCCCTTCTTTCGTCGAAGATATGAAGGTTTGCATCTTGTGTCATAATCTCGAAAAAAACTAACCAATTTTTTTGGCAACACAAAATGACAACTTGAGCTTTTTTTTCTCTTTGAGAACAGGTTTTTCAAAGAGAGAGGATGAATGGGCACTATGGTGTTTTTGCATTTGTCGTGAGCAATACCTTATCTGCAATGCCATTTCTGATACTGATCACCTTTCTTTCTGGCACTGTATGCTATTTCATGGTCCGGTTACACCCGGGCTTCACGCACTATTTATTCTTTGTAATATGCCTCTACGCCAGTGTCACTGTTGTCGAAAGCTTGATGATGGTCATAGCTAGTGTTGTCCCTAATTTCCTCATGGGTATCATTATAGGTGCTGGAATCCAGGTAATAAACTTTCATCGTTTCCCCATTCAATTCGTCCAAAATTACAACGAATTTTCAAGAGTCTTAATTAACTTTTTGTTCTGTTTTCATTTTGATGCTAGGGAATATTTATGTTAGTCTCTGGATACTTTCGACTCCCCAACGACATCCCAAAGCCTTTCTGGCGTTACCCTATGTCTTACCTCAGTTTCCATTTCTGGGCACTACAGGTAAGACTCATTTAACTTCAATACTCTGACGGTGTCACAAACACGTCTTATTTTTAACTATTTTTAAATGTTTCTTGTATATTGTACAGGGGCAATATCAAAACGATTTGATGGGATTGGAGTTTGATAACTCGAGTCCTGATCTCCCCAAAATCCCAGGTGAATTCATACTGGAGCAGATATTCCAAATTGATCTGAACAGATCAAAATGGATAGACGTGAGTGTGATCTTCGTGATGATAATCACCTATCGTATTATCTTCTTTATCATGATCAAGATCAACGAAGATGTAACCCCGTGGATCAGAGGTTACATTGCTAGAAGAAAAATGCAGCAGAAGAATGGAAATCAAAAACAGACAATTGCTCCATATGGTCTTACTCAATCACCCTCTCTCAGGGCCTATGTTGGAAACAATGGACCAAATAGCAATAGGTAAAATGGAGTCATAACAAATGTTAATTAATAATATCAAAAGGACAAAAAAGAAGAAATATGCATGGAGGCTTAATTTATTTGTTAAAACCTCTTATGACAAGTGGTTAATTGCAAGAAATTTGTATTAAAATTATATACGAGATGATGGTAGTTAATTTTTTTTAATCTTTTTGCCACATTTAACCATTCTTCAGCTTCATGTAATGTGCTAGTATGAATTTATCAGCTACAAATGTTGTTGTTTTTCTTCTTTTGGTTATGCAGAGAGATTTCTTCATTCTACCATCATTTTATGTTGCTTTCAAGTTCTATATGTAGGGGCTATGTTGGTTTATGATATGGTAGATATCGAATTATTATATTGAAATTAAAAAATTTGATTTTCTCTGTATTTAGTTGTATAAGAGAGAATATATAATTTATTAAACGAATGCATTTAATATATCATAATTTTATTCATTAAAATTGTAAGATTAAAGATGTGTGAGTACAAGTTAAATTAAAACAAATGATACAAGTTGGTAACAACTAACAATCAATACACGTGATCCACACCCCATACCACCCAGAAAGCTGATACAACCTATTAGTGAACTAATACAACAACTAAACTAGAATAGTAGTTACTAATGACAAATAAACGGACTTAATTGAAATTAATATCTTAAAAGGTCATTGAATTATAAAAATTTATTTTTTAAAAAGTCATTAGATTTTATTTTATATCAATAAAAATCACCAAATCTAAGGTTTTTATGTTTAAAAATCACTCAACTACATCATAAAAGACTATAAACATTTGTGTCATATAAATAATTGTTATTCTCACATTGTTATTGATATCATTAACTTTTATATTATCAAATCCCTATTTCTCTCTCAATTCATTTCATGGATTCTCAACATAAGAAGAGTAATCGCCAACATAAGAAATGGAAGAACTAAAGTCGTATGGGTTCACAAAGACTCTGTAGTTAAAAAGCAAAAAAGATATATCAAAGTTGTTTTGATAATTCAATAATTTTATTATTTCAATTCGAAGTTCTTAGTTGTATTAATTTTTCCTGTTTTTGGTGTTTTGAGAGTCGGCCTGATTATGTTTATATGTAACTTAAGTGAATCCTAAACCAATTTGAAGATTCAGAGTTAAACTAAGAATCAAGTAAGAGTATACTAAATACTATGAAGTTTTAAAAAGATATTAAAACTAGTTATATGTATTATGTAGAATGCAAAGATATTATAATTAGTAATTGATGTGTATCAAAAGTGTCAAATCTTTTCTCTTTAAATCAAAAGCAAATAATTCTTTTAAATGGGTAAACAAAAAATGTTTATTTTGTTTAATTCTTTTATAGGTTTTTTTTAAGTATAATTTACCTAAATCTCATAGTGTTAAGAGATAATTATATTATTTTTCTATTTTTTTTTAAATTACAAAAATCGCTTAAAATTATGGATTTCAGATACATCACTGACTTACAGAGTCATTAACAGGCATCCAGATACATGTGAGAGATGTATCAGAGAGAGAATGGATGTATCAAAGAGGAGATAGGACATCTAGATACATTACTAGACTTTCAGATACATCAACCGACATCAGATTACATATGTGAGGGATACATTGAGAGAGGAGTGATGTATCAGAAAGGGGAGGGATCTATCCGGGGGGTGGGGGTGGGGGGATATGGATAAATCACCGAGAGGAAGAGTGATGCATCCAAGGGGGATTTTATTTTATTTTTTTTAAAAAAAGTAGGAAGTTTTAAAGATTATGGTAAAATAAAATGTGTATTTAGGTAAATTTTTTTATTTTTTATGATTTTTTTCTTTCTTTTTTCTCACAAATAAAATTAATTAAGAATAATTTATGAAACATTTAAAATATTATTAATTTTGAAAAATTATTTTGAATACATTTCAAAATAAAAAAACTCATGGATTTTTTAAAAATAATTTTGTAAAAAATATTTCTTTTTCAGAAAATGTATAGCACTAAGCACAAATTGTATTTTATTCATAGTTTTTTGTTCATTTTTTTCAATAAGAAAATATGATGTCAAATTATTTATTTATTGTTTTTCATTTTAAAGGTGCGACTCCTTTCAAAAAATTTGTGTACGCCCCTGCCTCTAAATAAACATATTTACAATAATTAAACTATTATTGTTAACTAGTTATCGCCGAAAAATATTTTTATTATAATGTATATCAGGGGTGAAACTACACCTTAGTATGAGCGATCAGATAAATAATCTTCGTTGGAATTCTTTTTTACGAGTATATATATTAAATATCAATAGTTTAAATATATATAAATTGTTGAACAGTTTTAACTAACTAAATTAAGATAGTCACTAGTTAAGGTTATTTAAAGTTGCTCATTTTTTAAGAGAAAAAAGTCTCCCTCAGGGCTTGGGTAAGTCTGGACTATTTTACTTTTCATTATCTATATTTGAAGAGTAAAATATAGAAATGACACTTCAATCCACCTTCAAATCACTCTTTATTCTTCAAATTCAGAAAGTTGAATAGTAGTTTTCCAAATTTGGAGAATTACTATTCACACTCTTTATTTCACCTTTTTAAATATTTTATTATTATTTTCATTACTTTCTAATTAACATATTATTATACATATAATTTCATTAATTAAATTTTCAATATTCATAATTCTTTTTAAATGTAATATAATATTTTTAAAAATATATTGTTTAATATATACTACTTTAACTTTAAATTAATAGTTTTTTTTATTTTTTTCTAATTTTCATCAATAATAAAATTATATTTTATTATTAATTTTCATTATAAAGAATACTCTAAATTAAAATGGTAAGATGAAATTTTTAGTTTAAATATAAGATAACAATACAATACATAAGATAATAATTAAACACAAGATAAACTACAATACACAACATAATAATTAATTCACGATGAAATAAGAATCATGTCGAAAAAATATTGAACGTGCATTCAGAGTTCTGCAATTATTGCAGGACCATCATGTTTTTGGAGAAAGGAAGGACTACATGACATAATGACTACATGTATTATACTGCGCGACGTGATAATTGAGGATGAACGTGATCTTAATGCACCAATTCAAGATGTCGTAGAGGCCAACTCCAACGACAGAAATGATGGTAGATGAAAATTTCCGGTTTGAACAATTTTTAGCGAGACATAAAAATAAGGCATAATATATATATTAGACCCTACACTTGGCTTCAAATTTTAACTTTGACCTTCAACTTTCATAATGCACAAAGAGACACTTTAACTATCCAACTTTTAAATAAATAAACACATGAGTCCTACATGACACAATACACGTAGAACAAAAAATAACATATAGGATGACATGTAGGACCTGTGTGTATTTTACACAAGTTTAAGTGTGTACTTGTGCACACCCAAAGTTAAAGGGCATAAATGTGATTCGAAGCCAAGTTAAAGGGCATATTTATATATATGCCTAAAAATAATTAAGAAAAAAGGTGCTCATTTTGAACTTCCTAATGCATTAATAGAACATTTATGTGAGTAACATTAATAATTTCGAAAATAGAGAACTGGATTAAAATTGATTGTCTGGAAAAATAAAAAACTATATATTTGGAGAGTAAAAAATATAGTATGGGGTTTAGAGGGTAAAAACGGGTGAAATTGGGGAATAAATGATTAAAAAAATATCGTTCAGGGTGGTAAATGGTAATAATATGAAAAAATAAATTTATGAGCAAATATGAATTTCTTATGGTTTAAGCATGTAACTGACAACTTCATCATAAATTAGGTGGATTTAAATGCCCTATTACTTTTCAAATGTTTTCCATATTTTTTAAAGGGAATTTTTTTTTTTTTTTAATGAAATCTCTATAATATGAGATTCACTAAATAAGTTTGACTCGACTGTTGAGTGTTGACCAAGCAAATATGGAGAGTTAATTATATAGTACAAAATATTATTAAGTGAATGGTAAAATAGTCATGAGATTTACTAACTAAAGTTGACATCTTGGTTGATTTTGTTTCTAAGTTGACCAAGATAATAATAATATATAGTCCAAAGTAATATAAAGTAAATGGTAAAAGAAATTAGAATTAATAGAGCCAAAACAATTTAATGTAATTTTCTCTTAAGTTTTGAACATATTAAACCTCTGAGTACTATATATAGACCTCTCTATATGTCATGATACTTGCTAAGTAAAGAGGAACAGAATACCATTTGATAAAAAAGAAGAAGAATGGCTCCAACTTTGAATGGTGAGGTAGACATAGTGATACCAACCATAAGAAGCTTGAACTTCTTGGAGAATTGGAGGCCATTCTTTGAGCCATATCATTTGATCATCATTCAAGATGGTGATCCCACCAAGGAAATCAAGGTCCCTGAGGGCTTCGATTACGAGCTCTATAATCGCAATGATATCAACAGGATTCTTGGTCCTAAGGCCAATTGCATCTCCTTCAAGGATGGTGCTTGTCGTTGCTTCGGGTTCTTGGTTTCTAAGAAGAAGTTTATCTATACTATTGATGATGATTGCTTTGTGAGTACTTGTTTGTTGGTTTTGTGTAGATAAGATTTAATATGTGTTGTATTTTATTTGTGAAAGATTTGATTTTTTTTCTTGTGTGTGTGTGTGTGATGAAGGTGGCTAAGGATCCAAGTGGGAAAGAAATTGATGCATTGGCTAAGCATCTTGAAAATCTGACAAAACCATCCACACCCTACTTCTTCAACACTCTGTATGATCCATACAGAGAAGGTGCTGATTTCGTTCGAGGGTATCCGTTTAGCTTGAGGGCTGGTGTACCAACTGCTGTCTCTCATGGACTCTGGCTTAACATCCCTGATTACGATGCCCCCACTCAGCTCGTCAAGCCTCTGGATCGTAACACCAGGTTAGTTCATTGTAGCGTATAATCTATGTGGTAAAAACATTCGATACATACTTTTTTACTCAATAATGATAAACTTTCTAGTGTTGGTTCAAACAGGTATGTGGATGCTGTGATGACAATCCCTAAAGGGACTCTGTATCCCATGTGTGCTATGAACCTTGCCTTTAACAGAGAACTTATCGGTGCTGCTATGTACTTTGGGATTATGGGTGATGGACAGCCTCTTGGCAGATATGATGATATGTGGGCTGGCTGGTGTACCAAAGTATGATTGATAATCTGTTTCTTGGTTTTGTTTAAATTTGTTGAGACAGTCATCCATTTTTGTTTTAAACGCGGAGTGTTTGAAAAATGCAGGTGGTGTGTGATCATTTGGGCTATGGTGTGAAGACAGGGCTGCCATATTTATGGCACAGCAAGGCTAGCAATCCGTTCGTGAACCTGAAGAAGGAATACAACGGGCTGTTCTGGCAAGAAGAGATGATTCCCTTCTTTCAATCTGTGATCTTACCTAAGAAATGCACCAATGCTCAAGAATGCTATCTCGAGCTCGCTAAGCAGGCCAAGGAAAAGCTTGGTCCAGTTGATCCATATTTCAACAACCTTGCTGATGCTATGGTCACCTGGATTGAGGCCTGGGAAGAATTCAACGCACCAGCAAATGTCAAGAACGGGTCTGCTTAGTCGCCTAGTAACATTTCGTTTCATGCTTGAAACGATATTTCTATCGTTTTCATTAAGTTCTGTTTTTATCATTTCCTAGCTAGTGACTCAGTGTACTAGAATATTGAGTTACCCTTGTCTGCAGCAACATATTAAATAGTTGCAATATATATGCTTGCTTCTTCTGCTTGCATAAGAAATAAAACATCGCATTTCCTTTTTTTATATCCTGGAATTGATATAGTATCATTACTTCATACTAACAAATTGAAATATCACAAAAACACATAAGATCCCAATTACAAATTCTGCAAGTTTAACAAGATATACTCATCATTCATCGTATTCATAACAAGTCGAGAAAATTGATTAACCAACCACAATCACAAAAGCTCAAGTTGGGACTAGAACAACTTCTTCTACTTGCTTCCCAATTCCTATCATCAAGCAAATGCCTCGTGTGAACACCGATGCAACCATTGCAAAAATAATCACAACAAGTAACCATAAACAAGTCCTACAACGCCTCTCCTTCCGTTCCAGCAGATTTACTGGTGCTCTGTGATTGCCTTCAATCATCCTAATTTCGCGCTCTTTTGATACTTTTTCAGTCGAAAAAGAAGAAATTGATGAACCAGATATCAAAGAATCACTATCAACATTCTCATTGTTTTCATGTAAAACAATACAATCACTTTCTTGTGAAGTAGAAGAATCAGTCGTGATAGAACTTTTCTCATCACTAATTTCTCCGAAAAGGCGTCTACCTTTAAGTTTACCACTGGCTATTGCAGTTCTTCTGTCACATATTATTTCTTCAACAAACAAATCATTCTTCTTCTTTACTACTCTCCAATTAACCCCTTCTTCTCCGAACGGAGATTCGTTGTTTTGTAGTGATGACATTAAACTTCTTGGTGATTTTTCAAGAAGTTTAAAAAAGTCTAATGTAGTAATAGTAGTACTACAAGAGTCTGATTTATCAGAAATTTGAGGAAAATTTAGTGATTTATTGGATCTCTTATAATTGTCCCAATCTTTTTCAAGATTAATTAACTGTTGGTAAAGTGCTCTGTTTGATCTTTTCATTATGATGATTTTTGCTTTTTTTTCAGTATTGAGACAATTTTTTGCTTTTGGATTGTGGGGTTTCTATTAGTTTTATTTTTGAAAAAGTTTAATTTTTTGCTTCAAGAAAGAAGGATTATCTGTGGTAAACTAACTGTATGAGATTAAATCGGGATTTTAAAAATTAATCATCTCTTCTTATGGTTTTTTGAAATTTGATTTTGTGATAAGTTTTAGCGGTCTTATTTGAACTAATAATACCCTTTTCTAACCCACACGAATAGATTAGTGCACTTTTTGACATGTGTGGCTCGGACTTTTTAAAAATATGACGAGGTAATATTATTTACAAGAACATAATAAATTCAATAATTTTTGTTCAGATTATAAATATATATTAAAAATCTACAAAGTATTTAAAATTATTTGTTTGTGAATCCAATTATTATTCTTTATCAACTTGAGGTCGTAATTTAAAACTTATAAAATCTAAATGTATGTTAGATTCTTCAAAAGTAATAGTTCATTTTCGAAGAATATGACTTGTAAGCGTTTTTAATTGTGTCACTTGAGTTAAACATGGTTACACTATAAGTTGAAGCATGCAAACGTTGTTTGAATAAATTTTCGTCTTCTATCTTTCTCAATTACTCTTGTTTTTTAATCGAACAACATAAGTTGATTCAAAATCTAAAATTTATGAGTTTGAATTTTGAAAATTTATAACAGTTCATTTGATTCCTAAGTACGAAATCAACTATATCTATATATTTACTAAGTTTTTACTTAAATAACGAAATTAATTATGTCTACATATTTACTAAGTTCTTAATACATAAATAAAGTTTAAATTGGAGCCGGGGCTTTTCCTAAATTGAGGGAGTTATAATCAATACTGTGTATATTTGTGTTATAGTGAATGTCTAATTAGGTGGAGTCTGCACTTGTAGGATATGGTTAGGAATTTTACTTGGGGACCAAGTAAGGTTTTCCTTATAAATAAAGGTTTTTCTTCCAAAGATCTATGAATCATAAATATACTTCAAGAGAAATAAAAAGTTTTTCTCTTTCCCTACTTTCTTCTTATTCTTAAATTTCATATAGTTTCATAACAATTATATTAATTTTTAACTTTATTAAATTTATTTTTAAAAAAAATATGTTAGATGATAAAAAATATTATTTAATTGTAAAGATAAAATAGATATAAAAAAATAAATCATCTCTTGGTTTTTAAAATTGAACAAATATTATTAAATAAATATTTTTGATTTAATGAAAAACTATTATTGAACGTAGGGAGTAAAATGCAATGCTCAATGGTTGAGTACCAACAAAGCAAATCTCTATTTATTGCTTGTGTTCTGAAAATGAAATTTTAAGGTGGTATCTTAAGATACTTCTTCGTTGATTTATGTGTTACTAAGGCCTCATTGTTTCTTCAAGACTTATGAATCTGAATACATATCTGAATATTAAGGTATTGTTTTTGGATCAAAATATTAAATTATTAGGAATGTTTGTTTTTAATATCTGAATGTACATATAAAATTAAACGTTATGTCAATGAAATATTATAAAAATCTAGAATATAATTTTTTTATTAGAAAATAATATTTTGAATACTTTTATATAACAATGTAATATGATTCTTTTTAAGAATTCAACATTAACTTACGTTATTAAATACGATTATTTTTTGCACTCAAAAACTTTAAGAATCTAATCTAATGCAATGCAATGTAAAATATCATATAGAGTAGTAATATATTGTTTATGAAAACATTTTATTTTATAATAGGTATTTGTTATTGTTATCCATAAAATAATTAATATTTTTTTATTTTCTGAATCGTGCTAAATATTGTACCATAAAATTGCTTATCAATTCAAATATATTAGTTAATTTATGAAAATAAAAAAGCGTATATTAAGTTAATAAGAATAAAAGAAATTATAACGATAAGCAATTGACATTAATTAAACAAGAAAACAAAATAACTTTTATGACTTGTTGTGATGTAGTCAAATTAAGATGAACCTTATAAGGAAATAAACAAACAAACTTAATAAACTAAATTTGAATAATTAAGATTTAGTACTAAAAAGACAAATACACTTGTAGCATCGCCAGCCCTAACCACTATTTTAGTCTCCAAATATAAAATTCTCCATTTTTTCATACAATAAACCTTCAACTCCAACTCAATTTTATATTTTACTCTTTAAAAAGAAATCTTTTTTCTCACTCCTTAATATTATATTATTATTTATATTTTATTCTTATCTTTTTATTTCATAATATAATTTTTTATTTAATAAATCACTTTGTATAATTTTCATGTAATATATATATGTATATATATATTTTGAAAATTTTATTTAATTTAAAATTTTATTTTATCCTAAGTTGCTAAATTACATAAATTGCAAATAAATATTATATAATATACAAATTAATGTACATAAATTGCAATCAAAATTGTTGCGATAAAATTATTAAGTTATTTATTGAGTTATCTCATAGTTAAATTATAATGTTATGCATTGTATTTTCAAATCAAAATATTCATCTTATCATTTTAATTTTGTGATCATAGTGACAATTAATAATGATATCAAATCACATTAAAGTGAATAAATTTTTTTTAAAATTAAAATATTATTAATTCAAAATCAAAATAGATTAAATAATTTATTTTTAAAACATTATATTAGACTAAAAAGAATTATGTACATTAAATATTTAATTAATGATTTATATGAAAAAAATATGTTAATATAATATAATAAGATAATAATAAAATAATTAAAAAGTAAAACAGAGAGTGTGAATAGCAATTCTCCAAATTTGGAGTACTACTATTCATCTCTATATATATAAAAAATAAGAAATCTCTAACCCACCTTTATTTTACTCTATATTCTCTATATTTAGAGAGTAAAATAAAGAACGAGTTTTCCAACCCCCCTCTATATTACTCTCGATTCTCCATTTATAGAGAGGTGAATAGTAGTTCTCCAACTCTATTTCACTTTTTGATTATTTTAATATTATTTCTATTGTATCATTCATTAAATCTTTATTATTTGTAATTAATTTTTTAATATAATATAACATCTAAAAACACATTATTGGCAAGTTACTATTTTTATTCGAATTAATATTTTTTTTTAAAAAAATCAACACTTTGAATATGTAATTTCAAATTATTTTAATTATATGAAACTAATAATTAAGTCTTTAATTTTTGAATTATTTTCTAAGTAATATAACATCTAACAGAACATAAGTATACTATATATTTTCATCCCGAATTAATAATTTTTCAATTTTTAAATTAAAAAAACTTATCACTTTAAGTATTTAATTTTAAATTATAATTATTTTTTATAATGAGACGCAGATTAAGTTTCATGTCCCTATTAAGCTAGTGTTTGTAGTCTTCTAGAAGAATTATTACTACAAGTATAATGAGCAAAAAAATTAATTTATCTCAATTAAAATGATGATAAGTATTTGAGACATATCTTTGAGCCCAAAAAAAGTATTTTGTAGTTATTTCAATAACTTTATTTCAAACTATTTTGTAGCTATTTTGTTCTTTTAAATATTCTCAAATTATTTCTGAAAATATAAATAATTAAAAAAAAGAGAGGATAATTTAACTCTCTTAGAAATTATCCTTAAAAGATGTAAATAAGGGCTGAAAACGGAAAATAAAAAATTTAACAGTTCTCTTAAACTTTGAACAATTCACTTATTTTCAACTAAAAAAAAAATGTTCAAACAGTGCAGTTATTTTCAAATATGAAAAAAATGTTCAAAAATATACTTATTTTGAAACAAAAGAACTACCTAATATTGGTTTGAAAAAATCCTTTTGGCTGGAAAATATGGCCAGAATAACATTTTACTTATATTATTTTATCTTTTTGAACATTTTTATTTTAATATCTTTTAACTAAAAAAAAAAATTATTTAAAAATTATAAAAATATTATAAATTTCTTAATTTTCTAGCCAAATTTTCTAACTATTTAACATTACCCCACTCGTAAATATTGTTTCTCTATAAATTCGACCTCGATTCACGTTGGCCCCTTAAAATGATTGTGCGACTATTGCACTTCTAATTTCCTCGAAGTTTACAAATTTCCCCTCATATTTATTATGAATGGAAATAAATTCATCCCCCTTTAATTTTTTTTTTCGTTTTACATTCTTTTTGAAGATATAAAATACTTGTGGGCTTGAAGATCATATATATATTTTTCGAAACAGAAAAGTTTGAGGAGTGGCTATGTTTGCTACTGCTAATCAAAAGCAAGATTATGACAGAAACATTGGTGAGTTAATTATATTTAGTTTAATTAAATATATCATCATGATTACTAATTAATTATTATGTCAGGTAGAAGAAGAAGATGAAATTGCAAACCATGTTTTAACAAGATATCAAATACTCATACCTATGTTTGACAGGTACTACTATAGTCTATATTGCCATTACTTTTGCTTGTCTTACTTTATTTTTCTCAAAACGTTTGAAATAAAAATTTATGAACTATTTTCGTTTTTTTTACTTGATCACTTATTAAATCAAGATATAATTCACTAAACATATTCATCATCATACTTAATGTTTTTAAATATTCTCTTTGAAAGTTGTAGAGATTGAAATTTTATGGGATTCTATAATATGCGTTCAATTCGAGATGAGACTCTACAAATTGATTTCAACTTAAATTACAATTCTTGGAATCTACTCCCTAAACCCTAGTTCATTCACATATTGACTAATCACTTTTTATTTTGTGTAAGATAGATTAATTTAACTAATTTATCCTTGATTCATATTAATCAAAAACAATAGTATAATTAATAATGACATATAAAAAGCATTACGCTAATTTATGTACATTTATTTCAATATCACTAAAAAAGTTCAAAATTTGTCAGAGGCAAAAAAATTTACATGAACTATCTTTTATGAATTTTTAACTTTGTTAACGATAAAAAAGTTTGCGTGAACTATCTTTTTGTTTGTGATTATTTGAGTGCTTTAACATATTAAAGTAACACTTGGATTGTTTTATTGCTCTACTTGAAACAAAATAATATTGAAGATATATTACAGAAACACTTTTTAAAAATATTTTTTAAAAGTAATATTTAAATGATTTTTAAATTAAAAAAAAAAAGAGAGTTGTAGAGTCCTATTTTTGACTCTTAACTTATTTTTAAATTGATTTTTCATTTTAAAAACTAAAAATAATTTGATCAAATTTTTAAGTTAATCCAAATAAATTCTAAGTAATTGTTGAGATATGACATACTGAATAAAAAAAATAGTTAATAACATTTACTAAAAACTACTTTCCTTTATTACCATTTAAATTATTTTCAAACTAGTTTACTAGAAAAAGTAAAGTAACTGAAATCGCATTAAATGAAAATTAAATAAAAAAAAAATATCAACAATTCATATTATATAAGACTAAAAAAAAGTACCTAAGCAAAATCACAACTATTAGAAATTAAAAAAATACAATATATAATTTATTTTAATCATTCATATTTTAAATTTTAAATTTCTTGAATCTTATAATTTATAGATTTTGATGTACTTACTTTTAAATATGTAAATTTATTTTTCAAAACTCCAGAATTGGGACAGTGGGGGTATTTATAAGCAAACAAGGGAATATAATTTTAGTTATTTTGACGAATTGATGCACAAAAGGAAGAGTAGAATACATTATTCGTCTGCAAAATTTCTTCAGTTATTCTGCCATTTGAGGGTAAGCTCTGTTAGCACTAGTTCGTCTTCATCTCTAATTTCCTTGTTAATGGGTGGTATTCCCTTTGTTCAATTTGTTCTTTCTGTTCATATGGTCGCAATTTATTTTATGTTAATTTGAACAAACAATAATGTATGAATTTTTCAGGTTGCAAATGGGAACGGAAGGTGAGCAATTGACGGAGCAGGAAACTGCCATCTATGATCGACAAATTAGGGTTTGGGGCGTTGATGCTCAGAGAAGGTAGGTTTTTGAACAGATAAAATTTGTGTTTCGTTTGGGTTTTAATTTCTATTACATGTTATTTGCTTCAGGCTCAGCAAATCCAATGTGTTTGTTAGTGGGCTGAGAGGAACTAGTGTTGAGGTACTTTTTCTACTTTTTGAACTCCTTTTTTTTTTCCTTAGGTTAATTAGCTAGTATTATGGATTTTGTTAATTGGAACATTGTAATTACTGATTATAGATTTGTCTCCTTGAACTGGGATTGTTATGTGATAATTTACCAATTATATCTCATTCTCAAACAAGTTGGAGTCATGTTTCTCCATCTAAACTATCTAATGTAACGATTATACAAAGTAAAAGTAGCACCAAGGGTGTGACCTAGTAGTGAATGAAGTGGGTTGAGGTCTTTTAAGTTCAAATTCCAGCAGAGGCAAAAGGTATTAGATGATTTTTTACATTTCTACAGGCCTTGGTGGATATAGTTGTTCGATACCTATGATGGTCGCAGGTAATATGTACCTTGTAAAATTAGTTGAGGTGTGTGCAATTTTTTATTAAGAATCTAACACGCAATTATATAGACAAAAACCATTCAAATTGAAGTAGTAAATAAGTTAAATATTTATTTGAATACTAATAACAAATAATATTAGCTGTTGTCTATTCTTTTATAGGAATATACATAATAAATCTATGATAAGGCTATAATACTCCTAGAAAAGCCTTTGACATAAGTAAAACCTTCCAACTTGACTAAAACATCCTTTTCAACTAGTTGATATCATCCATATAGATTCTTTATCCATTGTGGCATATCTTTAGTCAAGTCTGCATGGACTTCAAGGATTTATAGGTCTTTCATGACAATTTCCTTCCATGTTATTTTTGGTTCACCTTGTCCCTTTTTAGCACCTCCACTCACATGGGTTCACACCTACATACCAGTTCATCTAGAGGTCGATGTAAGACATGATGAAATCATCTCAAGTGACAATTTCTCATTTTATCCTCAATGTGTGCTACTTGCACCTTCCGACAAATGTGGTCATTTTTAATTTTATCTAATTTTGTATAAACGCACATCCATTTTAGCTTTTGCATTTCTGCGACACTGATCTGTGGAAATGTTGCATTTTTAATAGTCCAATTCACTTCTATATAACTTTATTGGTCTTATTACCATTTTGCAATACTTACCTTTCACTTTCGCCAAGTTATATGAATATTATAGACATCATGATTATTGTCCCTTTGATAGCATATATGTCCTATCTAACGACTACAACCCTAGTTGCTAAAATCAAATTCGAGTAGTTTCTTCTACTTACGTTTTTTATGAGGAATAGTTTCTTGTACTTATATTTCCCCTTTATGTTCTGTTTAACGATTTTCCCTCTTTCAGTTCTGCAAGAATATTGTTTTAGCTGGAGTAGGTAGTTTGACACTAAATGATGACCGGTTGGTGACCGAAGATCTATTATTTGCTAATTTCTTAACTCCTCCCGCTGAAAATGATTTCCGGGGGAAGTCTGTTGCTGAGCTTTGCTGTGATTCTTTGAAGGATTTCAATCCTATGGTTTCTGTTTCTGTAGAGAAAGGTTGGATTTTTTGTATTCTTTTGATTTAAACTATTAGTTTGCTTCTTTCCTCTAACTCATGCATAATTTAGCATCTCCACTTGTTGTTCCTTGATGTATACATTCCTTCTAATATCATTCTTGATTTGCTGAATGTTAGTCTTTATGGAATGCCAGATGAAAGAAATAGTAATGGGGGTTTAAAAGGGAAAAAGCTGGAAAGAAAACTAAGCACACATCACAATTTCACAAGCATCATCTATCAAGAGAATGCTAAAGAGATTTTGTTAAGTATCTTAAGTTTAATAGGAAACCTGAGGATGGCTCATAAAAAGTACTGATTTCTTTTGAGCTATCTTTGCAAATTAAGCGTTTGAGATTCTTGATTTGCTATCGTGGTGCGTCAGGAAATTTCCGTATCACATAGTGCCTGGAATCTTAGGCCCTAGAATCTCTTGACAAACAGCCATAGCCCATAGCCAACTTATCTGAATCAGCTCAATGTCAACCAAAGAAAATTCTTACTATCTCCCAATTTGTCTCAGCTTCCCTGTTGTGTATCTAATAACTTATATTATTACATTTCCTGAAAGCCAAAGCTGACCACTGAATGAGGTGTCAATTCAACAATGCATTTTAAGCTATCAGATAACGCATTCAACAATTGCAAATTCTATAATGCAACATGCTGTACTTGTGTCTTGTTGAGCTTGATTACCTGAATGAACTTGTAATTTTAATTTTCATTAGCTGTTGTGCTATATGTATGTTAACTAACTTTTTCTATTTAACGTCAAAATCAAATTTTCTGTTGGATTTCATTTCTCATATGACTTATATATACTATGCTTTTCAGGTGCTCTGTCCATCTTCGATGCTGATTTCTTTCAGAAGTTTGATGTTGTTGTTGTTAATTGTTGCTCCCTTTTGACAAAAGTAAAATCCTATTTCCATTATTTGATGAAATTAAATGTTTTAGCTTTTGTTGAATAAAATTATTAGATTCTTTTGTAACTAGTGTTGTTTAGAAAATACCTATTATTGTCATTTTGTTGATGTTTTCCCTTGCAGAAATCAGTAAATGCAAAATGTCGCAAGTTGCCAAAGCGTGTTGCATTTTACAGTGTAGAATGCCGTGACTCCTGCGGTGAGATATTTGTTGATTTACAGAACTACAGCTACTGTAAGGTTATAACCGATTCATTTCTTTGTTTATTCCTCTGCGTTCAGTCGGATTTTATCTTTTTTCTCTTAGACATAATCTTTCCCTCCTAAATGATGATAAAGCTAGAGTTACTCATTCTTTTGCCTCTTTGTGCAGTTGGTCTATATCTTTTTTCATGTCAAAAGAAACTAGACTTGAAGGCCTTTAGTAATTCCTTTCTGTTTTTCTTTTGCAGAAAAAAAATGAAGAGACAATTGAATGTAAATTGCATTATCCAAGTTTTGAGGTATAACTCCATTGAAGAATATAAGAAACATTTGCTTTTGTTTAGCCATAATAAATATGTTACTAACCTGTTTCACTATTAAAATTACAATAATCTTTTTATTTGTGATAAGTGTTTTATGATTAAATAAATTGTGAAGTCCTTAATCAGCAAAAAATCATAACAACTGAAAGTTAAAATTGTGAAATATATTTTCATTTAAGTCAATCTTGAGTTTTTGTCAACTCAATACTTATGGAAGTTTAGAAATTTTATTAGTTCCGGCAAACAAATGGTATTTTGTTTCGTATGGCAAGTTATAGCTGCATGCTTCACCCTGACAGTTTTTTTTGCTCTCAGTTGTATGGAGTTTATATTGTAAAGTATGATGCTAGTGGTTCCATTTCTTAGTTCACTTTTAACCTCGTTTATGTGCTGTTTGAAGTATTTGATGGTCGGTATTTGTGAAGCTTGTAAAATCTAACAGCTTTTAATCGTATATTATTTTTGCCCAAGTGATTCTCCATGTTGTGGTGGATTTTATTGGTGCGACCTCTATGATTCTATCTAGAGAGAATTATTAAGTCGTTGTCCCTGCCCACCATATTCTTGTGGATGTGTTTGTCAATGCCTCTGAGTAAAACATCAAAACTTGTTTCCTGTGTTCTTTTGCTCCTCGTCTCCCATCGTTTCCATTTTTACTCTACCATTGCCAGAACGTCAGTTGTCAGCTTTGACAACTTGTTAATAACCACTATCAGCACTGAAAGCCTGCAGTTCCAGTTCCAATTTAAATTTGGACACTTATACTGCATTTAGATTTCAAATACAGTGGAAGTTCACATCAATCTTCCTATAATTAAAATTGGAAAAAAAAATGCAGAAACTCTTTGACTATAATTTACATACAATTTTCAACAAGAACAGCATACCCAGTGTAATCCCATTTGTAGGCTCCGGGGAGGGTGGTGTGTATGCAATCTTATTTCTGTGAAGATAGAGAGGTTGTCTTCGATAGACAGACCGTCATCAAATGTCATTTTGAAGTCATAATATTGCTGAAAGATACTGACTAGTAACTAAATTTGTGTATATATTAGAGAATCTTTTATAAACCCGTTAACAACTACTAATACACACTAAAGAATCCCTTTCAAACCCTGTTAGCAACAAAAATAAAAGCTTCACTCTGTCATTCCATAGGGTTTCCTATGTTGCAGAGTGTTTCCGCATTTGGTTGCCCTAAAAATTAGATTTTGCAGGAAGCCATTGCAGTCCCCTGGAGATCTCTACCGAAGAGAATGTCAAAGCTGTATTATGCAATGAGAGGTAACTGTCATTTCTCAGTTTCTTGTAATTTCTGATGCAGTTACCATGATGGTTTGAATACAGAGACTCCTTATCTGAGATTTACTGAATGCTACTTGGTATTCAACAATTTAGTAAAAATATATATTTAATTTAATTACAAAAGGTATGGACTAAACCAACTACACACCTACGAGTAGATCCTCCCCCTCCCAAACACACCCCAATACAGACAAGAAACTAAAGCCTCTCATCCAGGTTCGAAAAGCTTGATGGAGTAGTCTCAGAAGTCACGATATTTTGTATTTCTGGCTTCTTTCTCATCATATACTATTGTGTTTTCAAAAATAATAAACGTCTTTTAGCTGAATTGTTATAGTGAACGTAATAAACTAATGGCAGTTTTTGGTTATAGTCCTCTGTTTGGCACCCTGAACCTGTAATATTTCAGTTGGTGATCTGATTGTCTTGTATTTTCAGTAACAATGGTGACAAAAAGTTATTAACACGTTCTTTAGATATATATCATGAGTGGAAGAATAATTTACTTTAAGTGGCTTGCCTCCTGACTCCTAGACCACTAACTACTTTGCAGTTATAGAAAGGTTTGAAGAGCTTGAGGGACGAAATCCTGGAGAAACTTCTGTTGATGACCTTCCAAATGTTCAGAAGTTGAGGAAGGAACTCTGCGAGGCACATGTATTTCGCTATGCAATATGCTCTTGTTATATAAGTTTCATTCTTTTCCTCTAGGTTACTAACATATTTGCCACTTAATTGCAGTCCTTAAATGAATCTCAGATCCCAGATTCTCTTCTGAGAAGATTGATAGCAAGTATAAGTGAATTTCCTCCTGTCTGTGCTATCGTTGGAGGAATTCTCGGACAGGTAATTATGCCTCTGTAACGTTGACAGACTGTTTCTGACTTCTTTCTCATTTGTTGAAATTCTCTTCCTTTGTAGGAGGTAATAAAAGCAATATCTGGCAAAGGCGATCCTCTTAAGAACTTTTTCTTCTTTGACGCCATGGATGGTAAAGGGATAATAGAGGACATATCTAATGGCAAGAGCTGAGGATTGACCTGTGTGGTAAAAACTATCTTTAAGAAATGCTGACCTTGTTGGGTATCTTTTTTTAGGACTAATCACAACCTAAACTATCTGACATTCCTTTAAATTGTGTTCTGATCAGCAAAATTATGATATTTTTTTTTGACATTTGGTACCTTCAGTAAAGTGCTCATGTTGGGCTTGTATTTTGAAACATTCTAGGTAATGTCTCATTTTCAGTTGTCCCTGTTCTCTCCAGATCTCTGGTCATGCTAAATTACTCTTCCCATGCTTACCTTCCATGGCTAGTAATCAATAGAACAGGTAAGTAAAGTAAGTCGCCGCTTCGTGTCCCCATACACAGTGAGGTGTTGTGAAATGCATGTTTTGTAATGGAGATGGATCTACAGTGTAACATATGATTCTATTAGCGTTTGCCTAGATCATGCATAGTAGCATTAAGAAATTCACTACTTATCTATGAATTATATATGATTGTGAGGTCTAGTTATTATTACTATATATTAACTTTTTAAGTCGCTAAAGAAATTTATAGACTATAAATCTTGATTCTTTGTTGGACATGACCCCCTCCTGCCAGTCTTCTGATCATATCAGATTCCCAAAAGGAAAAATTAAATTAAATTAAATGGTTTACACAAATTTTATATTTCAATGACACACCTATTATGTATGTTATTCATAAATGACGTGTCCAGCATACTCGAATTTCACGAGAAAATCAATTGTGGAAAGTTGGGGTGCTTACAATTATTGAGATTTTGTTGACATAACTTAAAAAGGTAAAGTATATTTTGTAATATAGTTATATTTTCGATTATTTTTAATCTATAGTTATAGTTTCACCGTATCTTGCTATTCGGTTGTCTGGTTGTATAACTTCAGTGTATATGATTTAAGAAAATTATCCTCGTTGTCTAGTTGTATAATTTCAGTGTATATGATTTAAGAAAATTATCCTCTTTGTATGTCTTTGCAAGCGATATACAAATGAAATTAAAAAAAATAAAATCCTAAACGCATAAATACATAATTTGTATATATTTAACATGTTTGTATTAAAATAACACAATTCGAGAAATGTCTTATTAATTTATTATTTTTGTTTTTGAAACTACTTTTAAATAATTCAATATTATCTTTCATTTGGATTTTCAATGTGATAACTTCAATAAATTTGAGTATATGACAATAATTAGTAAGGATAAAAATAGAAAACTATATTCAATTTATATTTTAATCTACTTTTATTAAAGAGCGTGGAACACCTTAAAATTTCTTCATTTTTTAGAACTTTAGTAACGTGTAAAATGGAAAATGTGACGTTAGTTATTTTGAATCTTTGGAAGTATGTTAGAGCAGGTTGAAAAAAGAAAGATATTTATATTGTCGGTTTGGCCAAGCTATCTCTGTTTTTCTTTTTATATGAAATTTAAAATCAAATCAAATCAATCTCAAAATATCGTTTATTTCTTTGATTTGCATCTTTTTTTCATGAACACCCCTATAAAAAAAGTTGCAGTGCGTCGATAAGAAGTACCTCAAAAATGTGTTGGAGCATAGCTTAAAATGTATTAACAGATTATTTCATTTAGCTATTATTATATCCCAAAAGATATAGTACATTATTTTCAACGAAATAGGTAAATGAGACAATAATAAGAGGTATATTAAAAAAAAATTATTTTTATTTTAGAAAGCAAAAAAAAAAAAAGGATAAAAAAAATGAGTCCTCCTGGATATAATATATAGAGTTTGTCAACTCCAATGTAGTACTTTTTGGCGAGAATATAGATCTAATCGGACTTCAATGTGAATATTGAATACCAAAGCTTTTGTCAACTCCAATGTATCTGGCGAGTATACGGATCTAATCGAACTTCAGTGTGAATATTGAATACCAAAGCCTTTGTCAACTCCAATGTAGAACTTTCTGGCGAGAATACAGATCTAATCGGACTTCAATGTGAATATTAAATAAACAAATTTGATCAAAAATAAAGTTGCTAACAAATATCTCTCCATCGGGTTAGAGTTTCACTCGTTTATCATAAACAATTTGTGTGCACCAATATAGAAAGGTTGCGAATATTATAATGATAGTAACAGAGTCATAAATTTTAACAACGAAAGTTTTTTTTCCTATATACTCCAATATATACACAATACAGATTAACTTCACTAGCTAGACTCTAAACATAAAAGGGTTGTTCAATTACAATTATTGTTCCATCAATATGTAGTTTCTTAAGTTTGGTACAAAAACATTTTCACTCGTATCTCATGTTACTTTTCATCTACAAATTTCAAATCACAATGCTTACTATTATAATAATCAATAAAATCACAATAATTGTGTCAATGCAAATGACGATGACGTGTTCTATATTGGGAGGTTTATTTTTCATCTATAGATGAATATCAAGCTAGTGAAAACTCATTGACACCTTTCAAATCTTAATATATAAACAAAATATTATATCATATATACTAGTTTCACCACTTCTAATTTGTTAATAGAAATGAAATAAAAAAATTTAAAAAATAAAGATATAAAATAGGAGGGGCTGATTACCCAAACTAAGTACTATTATCTTAGAAAGTCAGTTTTCTTTCTTAATTTCAATTTCATACAACACTTTTATTAGTCAATCGATCATCTGAGAAATCAACACTAAAAAAAAAAAAGATGGATGAGTATATATAAGTAAGATGATATTGGCACGGCTCAATCAAATGAAATGACCCAATACTTTGAGAAATTTGATTTGATTGAGCCATTCCAACATCATTTTACTATACTATTAACTACAAAGCGAAAAAGGAAAAAAAAAAGAACTTTTAAATTTACCTTTCCAACTTCATAATTTGTAGATCATCAAATAACTAAGAACTTGATTTTGCAATATTCCTAATCATAATTGCCGGCATGATAATGATGGAACCCTAACCCTAATTTAGAGAGGAGAAAAAGGAAGAATAAGCTATAACAAATATAAGATAAGAAAAGAAAATTAGTAGTATTGGAGTTTATATAGATAGAAAAATATATATTAAGTCAAATGGGCATTTTCACAAATATACGTAGTGGTGGTTGATGAAAAACACCTAATATGTCACAAAACCAGGTCCCCTTCAATTATATATATATTTTTTTGTATTTACAAGATTGCTTTTTAATCATTTGTCAACTTATTGTTAACCTAACCTAATTACTCATTTTAAAAAAAAATTAATGTACTTTTTCTTAGTTGTCAATACTCCGTCATCAATTTGTCACTATAAATATATTCTATATTTTGCTTAATTGCTCCCTTTCGTTTTATTTTACTTGACTTGATACAGTCCTTAAAAAAAAAAACTTTTATATAGTAAAACACTCATTTGATTAAAAAATTCCCAAGAGCTGTGAAAAAAAGGGTAATAATAATTAAGATCACAACGTTTTAGTTAAATGTTTTCTTAAGGGATGTAAAAAAAGAAAAACATAACAAGTAAAATGGATCTTTTACGCTCGTAAATATCATTAAAAAGATGTGTATCCAAATAAACTTTGTGGAACCATCCAAGTAGAAGAATAATTAGTTTACAATTTACAAATCTCTTTGACATTTTTATTTAAACCCACACGGTGTGCTTATTTTATGAAAATAATTATATGATCCCCAAGTAATAGTTTTTTTCATTTGTCAAATACTCTATTGTATATTCTCTCTACTTTAGGCTTACCTATCTGATGGACTTGTTCAATTTGCCTTCTTGTTGTATAAAATTGAACTTAATTAATAATTAGTCACCAACTTTGAAGAGTACAATATTTTCTATCGCTTGTGGCATGCTGTGGAAAAGGTAAGACTTCAAAAAGATAAATCAAACAAAGATCACATTGAATATGATAGTCTTCATTGGTTAAATGGTCCATACTTATTAGAGTTAGTGATTAAAAATACATTTAAATTTTTTTTTTCCAAGTTTCATATCTTAATATTTATTATTTTTCCGCGAATTTCATACCTTAACCTTTCCTCTGTACTAAAATACAACTGGAACTGACTATGAACTTGTTTAAGTAGGTTGAAAGAATAATAGACGATTAAGATATGAATTCGTCATTGACTTTATTATTAGAGTTAGTGATTAAAAATACATTTAAAATTATATTTTTTTCTCAAGTTTCATATCTCAATATTTATTATCTTTTCACGAATTTCATACCTCAATCCTTTCTTTTGTACTAAAACACAACTCAGAACTGACTATGAACTTGTTTAAGTAGGTTGAAAGAATAATAGATATGAATTCGTCGTTAACTTTATTTTGAACTAATGGGGATATTAAGTATTACTTAATGATTTATATTGGACATAAAATAAAGAAAGGAAGAAGAAATGTGGAAGGAAATTGTTAAATTGATTGACAATTATTAGTTTGTACTGCCTTGCCAGAATATCTAGTGGATAGCCTGCCTGTTTGTATATACAATTATTGTAAGCTTTTTTATTTGTGATTGGTTGAGATTATATGGGCTATAAAGACATACACAAAACTAAAGATTCCCTAACCTATTAAACAAAAAATAGAAGGAATAAATATGTCGAACCTATTCTTTTTTGTCCCTTTCTGTGAAGCACTCAACTCACATTATGTGTGTGGCCCAAACAAATTACTTGGAAAAGATGGTATTTGACCCTTCTACATTCACAAGAGCTTTTTCTATGCTCTTTCATCTTCGAAAATAAGCAACATTGATTCTAACGGTCAATAGTATATCTAAACTATTATTATTGTCTTGTCGAGTGGGAACAATATTTGACCAACTCAGCATTCTAAGTGTGTTTTAATACAAATGAATATCTCAAACACCTGCCTAAATAATCACTCCCTTTGTATTGAAACACAACTCATTGTTGAATTGTTATTTGGTCTACATGCATCTGTTGTTGAACTGGAACAATATTTGGCCAACTCATATCAAAGTGTATTTTAATACTTAAAAAAAAAGGTGATAATTTATGTGTTTTTGACTTGTATGGCGTATGATACTAGATTTCAAATTCCTATCCAAATTTTTGGAGAACAATCAACGGATTGAAATTATATTTTCAAGCAAAACCACATTGCTTACGACTAGCTCATGCTGCCTCAGATGCTTCAACAGAGGGCTTTACACAATAGCTAAAAGCTCTTCATCTAATTTAATACAAGAAATCTCGAAGCATATTCGAGATTTCGGAAAGCATAACATGTATTGATGTCCAAATCGGAGTGTTAGAAGAAAATTCATGAACAGAGAACAAACATTTGCTCCGCTGGATTGTAGAATCACATTTAAAAGAACAACAGACCCTAAGTTTCACTTACGAGTCTTACAATTTTCTTATTTCCTCCCAACAAGTACAATCGAAAAAAACAGAACTTCTAAATCGAAATACCAAATGACTTCTTAAGCTTCTCAACTTCCAAATATACGGTGGAGTAAGGCAGAAATTCTGAGTGGTGAGCATTGGCCAAATCATTTATTGCAGTGGAAAGTTTAGGTATCTCTTTTATCTCTTCATGGGTCAAGGTCCTGACAAATCTTGCGGGATTCCCAGCCCAGAGTTCACCACTTGGAATCCTCCTCCCAGGTGGGAGCACCGACCCAGCTTCAAGGATCGAGTTAGTCTCCACCAATGAACCTTCCATAAGGATAGAGTGCTGCCCTATAATGCATTCTGGCTCAATTGTGCAGGATCGCAACAGACAGTATGCACCAACTGTAACGTACCTGTCTACTACTGTTTCTGCTGGCAGCCCTGTTAAATGAAAAGCAAAAATTTAAGTGTCACATATTCCAAAGAAACTGCAGCTTGATCCGGTTAGGAACAGATAAAATTAGACAATATAACACATTCTGCATAGCTGGAAATCTTAGCTGGACTAGGAAGTAAATCAGCTTTACTTGAGGGAAGGTCACCTTAAAATGTTCCAAGAAAATGCAGCTTCCGAGTAAAAATTAATGATATGCAGCAACTACAGACAATCATGAATATAAACTCTTAAAATGTCTGACTTCTGAGATGGAGTTGGCAAAAGATTTATCAACGGTGAAACATGTCTGCTCTTTACTATGAAGATATGTGTTGAGAAAGAATGAAAAGACAAGATCTATATGACATTTAGAAAAGAAAAAAAAAGTAAAAGCTGTAGCAGGAACAGGCAGCTGCAGTATTGTAATTACCTTCTTTAACATTGATGTATTATAGCACTCTTAAAAACCCTCATTTAGCATTGGATGACTTAATTCTCCAAAAACCTTAGCTGGGTCACCTGGGGAATTACTATAGACAGCCCATAGATGAGCCACACTAATAAAAAGGCTTGGAAGGAGGCAAAGACAAGATGAACTGCAGCAAAAGGTGCGAAAATAAAAATCTGTTTTTGTTGCTAAAGTTTTAGTATATCCATTATGCCTTAATTTTACTTATACTAAAACTCTTAATTTTAAGAGTGCTGCAACCATAGTTCAAGCTTTTGATTAACTCCCCTACTACATTCTTCCATTAAAATAATATCATCTGCAAAATAGTATGCACCATAGAATCTCCTGGTATAGCGTCTACTATTGGCTAGTACATCCATAATGAGCTTAAGCAAGTATAGGTTCACTCGTTCAAGACAGATTTATAATATAAAACACGCGAACCAACTACCATGAAAAACTCCTCTACGACTCCTCCCGCTGATCTCACACTTGTGACAACTCCTTCATATATCACTTAAAGCATTTACATTTGAAAATCAATCATTTCTCTCCAGTACTTAGTAAAAGGCTTTTGTTGACATTTAATCGAATGGATTCTCTACGTAATTAAAAATCATTTGAAGATCATTCTCCTCACCCTGTATATTTATCAATCTTCGCACAAAATCTGTAACCTCTTTTTTTTTAGAAAGAAATCTAAAACCTCTTTTTGTATATTAACCACGCATAAAAATTCATACTTTATAGCGTAAAGTAAATTCTAAACCAGAAAACATTAAGAACATGACCACTGTAACGGTTTCATGTTTTAAGCAACAGAGCAATCGTTTAAGAATGAAATCAGCAAAATCATAGGAAATTGTGTGGACTCTTCACTTTTGATGCCACACCCGTGCTGGATTATCCAAAAATAAACTACTTTTGGAGAATCCAGCACGCACCTATTGACATTTTTTTGAAGAGTCCTAACATAGGACCACAGTCCAAACTTCAATATTACATCATTTCAGATTGAGATACTTAGGTTGCTAACATAAAATATAATTTTGTACAGTCGTTTTGTCATTACAAAGTTATGGTGAGAGGCAGCACTCATTTTCTTCAATCTCAAGATTTTCGTGGTTACTCATTCCTAGACATGTAAACCAGCAACATAAAACATGAATATGAGAGGTATATCTGTGTAAGTTATGTTACCCCTTGTCTTTCTCAAGATTTAAAAAAACTTCCTCAAAAAGTTGTGTTATCCCTTGTGAGAGGATAAAGCATCCCACAGCTCCTTACCCACAACACAATAAAATGAATGCTTTTGATAAAAATCATATATTCATATTCCCCCTTTTTATGTTTTTCAGTGAGAAAAACAATACTCTCTCTAGTCCATATTAAGTATATAGTTGGGACTTTTTTCTTAGTTCAAAATTATTCAAAGTTCAAGAGAAATTGTTGGGACTTCTTTTTATATTTACCCTTCATTTAATGAGGTTCTTAATTACTTTACATTTTCTATAGGAGAATAGTTTGGGAATAATCAGAAGGGTTATAGTAGAAAGTAGCCTTCAATTCATGTCCTTAAACATTTTTCTTAAGGGGCGAGTCATACCTCAACAATTCACTTAATATGCACTAGAAGGAGTACTAAAAACTAGGAAAACAATAATCTTTACCGATGTAATGAATCACAGGCACTCCTAGATGTAATAATTTGTTATTTACATTCTCCTTCATCCACGTCACTACAATCACCTTGGTGGCTGCCACATACTTCTCCTTTTAACAAAGAGCCTTAGACCCTCCTTACGTCATACTTTTTCCTTCTACCAAAGAGCCTTGAACCCTCTTTCTTCCCACTGCAACTCACCATATTCCCATTTCCTTCACCAAGGAATTGATCAAAGTCTTTATTCCTCTTTCCTCTCAGCTTACCTATCACTTGTTTTCTTCATAATTATATGCTTGAGTCTTGAGATTTCCTCCTCTTTAGGGGGCATTTATCCATGATTTTCACTTCAACATGATAGGCCATAAAATTTTGGAATATTTGGTTTCTCTTTTTTCAAAAACTTCCAGAGATTCCAAAAACAACAAAAAAGTGTTCACTTTTTTGTTGTTTTTGGAATCTCTGGAAGTTTTTGAAAAAAGAGAAAACTCTGAGTTACTCACAAAAATATAAAAACAACTCCAGTTTATTCCATGGCGAACACCACTTGCAATTTCCAAATATCATTTTCACTTTGAAAACAAGAACTATTTTTTCTATTTCACAATGAAACATGGCCAAACGCCTACTTATATTTTTGACTGACTAGACAAGATTACACTTGATCTTAGCCAACAGGAGACAAGATTGAATATTAGTTATTGTTATCACATCACATTAGGTTCATTGTTTGTCATTAGTCTTTTTAGTCTGGTTACTGTCGTGTCAACATCAAGAAAAGTGTGAGATTATCACAAACCCTACTTCTGGAGAACTCTAAATCACATCGAAGGATAAAACAGTTACTAGCATAAACCATAGTAATGAAACAAGGGTATGAAACGAGCCCTATTAGAACAGAACGGAGGTAGAAGATTCATACAGGCTACAGCTAACCCCAAAGGTTTGGACTTGAGAAGCAGTTGATTGATTATTATTTTTTTATCTTTTTTATGACGGTAGGTGTCCAAGGACAGCCTGCGCACATCTTAATTATTCCACTAGATATCTACTACCTTCCACTAGCGCATGCATCGGATTACTATATACACTAATACTTAGATATATGGAAGAAATCATGATGTGTTTTTTGTGTCCACTGTGATTTGCACTTGAGATCGCAATTGATTGATTAATTTTCTTTTTCTTTTCAGAGAGTAATGGATTCATTTTGAAGAGATAAATGTCACAGAAGGATCAAATTCGTAAGCAAATATGAAGATATGTTTTTGTTTCACAAAATAAAAGTACTTCAATGGAAAAATATGTATGATTGAGGATTAAAACATTTTTGATAGACAAAATCCCAGAAAGAGAGAGGTTTGTGCAATGTTTCAGGTCGCAACTCCATGTGACTACAGGCACCAGGCTAAAACCGGAGTGGAAATTTGTGTAATTAACCATTGACTACCGGAACTCTTCGGACAAAATCTATGCAGAGTTCTTTCTAAAGTTCCCATCTGAGCTTCACAGATTTTACAAATCCATTATATTGAAACACTTGAGCAGGCAACTGGGACTTGACAAGTTAATTAAACCAATTCTTCCAAGGGAAAAATATGTTAACAATGCTTACTTTTATCATCAATGCAACCATGCATATAGGTGTAGACTAAAAGACCTAATACCAACCATATTTTTTGTCAAAATAACCTAACATTGTAGAATATATTTGACAAACAAGCTTTCAAGAGCGTATTAGTTCCACAATTAAGACTGCATTCTTTCTTAAACACTTCACCTACTTATGTACTCTCTCCTGTACTTCCATATATGTATTCACAATGACTCACTGTACACTAGTAATATGACGATCTGGCGAAAATAACAAGCAATTAATCATTCTTATTGATTGCTTTCCTTATTTTCCTGAAGATTTTTCTATTCAACATTGTAAATCACAAAAAAAGTTGAGCTTATATTCAAGTCAAGCCCCCCTTGATTCTGAGTGTGGAAGTGAGATGCAGTGAGAATTGAACTGCTTTTAGGCTTAAGCAATAAAAATCAAAGCAAGAGATGTGTACTTTTTTGTCTTGCATTTGTGATAGAAACACAAGGAAATAAATAATCTGAATGAATTTTACCACTCTTCTCATCCCCTTCTTAGTGATTTGAAGTTGCAATTTCTCTACAGCTCTACTGCAATGACACTATCCTTCACTCCTACTTCTATGCTACGGCTTATAAGTAGCATTGCACTAGAACCCATTTTCATTTTCTAGAGCTTTGCTGCAATAACCTTCTTCCCTTCGTCCTCCCTTTTGAAAACTACATCACTTCAATATGTATCAGTTTGCTTCTTGCTTAAAGTCCCAAACCTTGAAAAGTTTCAGTTCCTCTTTAAAACATTTGGTATTAAGGCTTATGTTGTCTTGCTGCAGTTAGCATACCTTGGAGATCTACACTATGTTTTTTATGCATTAAGAATTTCAGTTGTGTTGTCTAGACATTTTTTACTTCACGTAAGTGCCCCTCTTTAATGGCAAAGACAAGATAGATATTAACAATTTAACACTTATGACTAACAGAATCAATGTGTTCTAATTTTATCAGATGTCCCCAAAGGAACTATCCCTAATTGAACCAATTACATGGTCACTTGACTTACAAGCATTCTAAGTGTTTAAAAGCTTCCAACAGAAATATATATCGTGTTAATTGTAAGGCTCTAATCAGTGAACATTCAACAAGATTTCCAGATTCCTTGAGTTGATGTAGTTATTTGACTTTGGAAAATGAAAACCATTTAGATTCATAGATAACAATCTTCAGTAAGTTCCATAAATCGTTCTGAATACAATTTTGTTCTCAGCAACATAGTCATAGTAGCATAACATACAACCAGTTTCTTCCACAAATAATGTTATCCCTATCAATATCCAACTGATTCACCTAAGCAGTGAATTGCCGAAATTCCCTTGACAAACAAAATTTTAAATAAATTGGAATCAAAACATCAGTTAAGTCAGCTAAGCTAATAGTGCGCAATAAGCTCATTGTGATGAAACATACTCAAATCTTATCAACAAACAGCATAAATGTACTTAAGTCAAGCGAGGAAAAAGAACTAATCACCTGTAGGAGAAGACCAAGCAGCGTGAACCACACATTTTTCCTGAATGCTAGAGCAGAACCCTACTGTAATCTTATTTAGATCTCCTCTTAGGACGGCTCCGTTCCATACAGAAGCGCCGTCACAGACAGTCACCTGACCAGCAAGGACAACATTCGGCGCCACGTAGGCATCGACGGCTATTTTCGGTGCCCACTGACCTAATGGAATGATCCTCCTCTGCCCTCTATAGTCCCATTTCACTCGATCCGGCGATTCATTTATTGCCGCCTGAGCTTCCGTCGCCAGCGAACGGCGGATGAGATTGTGACTCTGGTGGTGGCGGAGGTGACCGGAGATAGTTGACGCTATGACTCTTCTCGATAATCTACCTAGTGTCGCCATTGCAGATTTTTGAAGCGGCTTCTGTGCGTCTGAGATAGAGAGAGGGATTTTTGCGAGCTCACAAATGGATGTGAAATGAAATGATTCAATAGAGTCGTGGACTTGAAGGTATTTTTCGTTTTCTTCTAGGGGTGCTTCAGGAAAAGCATGAAATAGAATTATCAGTCCAAAAAGAAGAAATAATTACATTTTGACTCCAATACTTTTTTGATAATTGTATGAGCCCCAAAAACATTTCATAATTATATCTATGCACCTCTACTTTAGGAATAATAGCACTTTTGATCCTTAATTATTAATATATTCTAAACAAAATTACATTTGAGCTTTCGCAATGCAACAAAATTAAATATAAGTCGAAGTCATACTTTGTTTAGCTAAATTTTCATACTTTGTACCATGCTTTTTTATTTGTAGCTTCGAAATTATGAAGATTTTATAATTATAATTTTGTATTATCTGATCAAATTTAGTAAGATCGAGTATAACATAAAGTCACATTAGTTTATCATGGATTATATATTATTATCCCAAAGATAGGTTACTATGAGTTACATAAAGAAAGATATAAATAGTAAAAGAAATTAATAAAAGAAATGTGCAATAAAAATAATGAACAAGTAAATTAAATTAGACGAGGTGTGTAATATAATTGAAAGGTTGAAACCATAAAAATCTAGTTTGATTCGTGATTTGCCTAACAAAATAGTTGTTAGGATATACTATTAACCATGCGTTTTGATATAGTATTAATATTGAACAATTGTTTATTTATTTATTCAATTCAATAAAGTGTTACATTAAATAGATCAATTGTCATATGTGTGTCCTTAACTTATATAGTAGATGATTT